TGGAAAGCTTTACAAGGAAGTTGCCAGGTTTGCTCTATTCCTCCTGGTAACCTGTCAAAGCTGCTCTAGGTACAGGAGTAACTCCTATAAAGTCACTTGGTTTGAAACCAGATCTTTGAAAATAAAGGACTTTTCATTTTGGCAAGCCAATGAAAAGAATTGGTGGTGGAATGTTTAGATTAAACAGAAAGCAGAATATTTTCTCTTTAGGCAAAACAAAAGCGACTGCAAAAGCCCCAGAAGCCATTCTGAGTCAACATGAAACATTCTGTTTTGGTCAAATGAAATGCATTCTTCCCCTGGAGATTACTGTTAGAAACACAGGAATATTTGTAGAGAAAAATATTACTTTAAGAACTGTTACTTCAAAAATTGTGGAAGCAAAGTGCATCTCACTGCCAAACAAACAAAAGCTGACATGGAAAAATTTATTTAAAAAAAACCAAACAAAACCAAAACAAGTTTCCATACTTTGTCTGGAATTATGCTTCAAGCATCAGAAAGGTTCATAAATTCTGACTCCCCACAACACTTGAGTTTAGGCAAGCGCAGACTTTGTAGAAAATATTCACCAGTTTTACCTGAAGTCCCACCACTCAGAACAGGTCTCAAGCTGCAGACCTTGAGTGAGTCTCAGCAATTAGCAATGACTGAGTGGATAAGAAGTGGGAAGAAAGAAGTGGGGGAACTGTGTGTGTGATTTTAGCTGCCAGGCTTTTGTGTGGAAAGTCTTTATCACTGAGAAGGAGGGGACGTTACGTCTTCCTGCTGGGATGTGAAGTGCTATCACTGACTTAGTGCCAGGAACTCACGCTGCTTACTCACCATCCTATCTTAGAAGGCTGCTCCACTCAAAAGTGGCCCTTTAGGACGTGATCTGAAGATACTGAATGTCTCAATTCAGAACTGAAAGCATCTTACTTATCCCTTGGATCCAGCCCTCAATACTTGAGGAACAGCAGAGAGAGTCCTGCACAGTGACGTAGCCTGTATTCCCGTGTCGTGTGGGCCAGTTAACGCAGTTAACTGGGATGTGGTGCCAGACCCTTGCACCAGTCTGTGCGAGACAGCTGGCTTATCTGCTGGGCTCAGTGCTGAGCAGACAGGACAGCGTTTGCCTATCTCAGCTCGCTGAGTGTCTGGCGGCAAGTGTGGCTGTCTCAGTGTCTCCAGCATGGAGGAAAGAAGAAATGCAGCTCCAGCTCTGTTCTCACTGGTAATATCTTTGGGAAAACAAGCCAAAGCCCAAGTCAGGGCTGTCACCCTGGCCCTGCATTTCTGCTTCTCACGTTCAGATTATCTCTGTGAACTGTCAAGAGAATTAAGGGGGCAGAAATCGGCTTCGAAGAAGATCAGAACCAAAATATGATCTCATGTGAGGGGTGCTGTCAGGCACTTCCATCCTCTTTGGATTTCTCTTGGTGGGAAAGGGATGAAGATGGGACTTCACATCTCTGTACTCTGCTGTTTGATAAAGAAGGGAATGTGGCTGATGTTATGCTCTACCTCCTCTCCTTCTCATTCTTTGCAGCAGCAAGTTACGCTGAGATGGTGAAACACCAGCAGCTGAATTGCTGTGGGAGAAGACACTGTTAAAATGTTCACCAGTCTATGAGTTCAAAGAGTGAACCATACTGGTCACAAAACTGGAATTGGTGACTCTACTCCAGTGTACTTGGAGCCTTGTGTAGCACCCAGCACTAATGCATTGGGCTCATGTACAGTAAAGCAGAGCTGAGTTCATGCTCCATCCTCCTGATGCACAGAGTGAGTGGTACAGTAAATGCAGTAAATCCCTTTCTGCTACGCACAGCTAAGGACTGCAAGGGGAAATTGCTGCAAAAGCTGAGGCAGCGTTTCAGCTGGTACAGAGAGCTCATCCAGCTGATTCCCTGAGGACTGTCTTACTTTGAGACAGTTGCTTTGCTGACAGTAACAGTATTTCAAATAGCTGAGAGCTGCAACTCCTGACTTCTATGAGGCTGGGGCCTGGGATAGCCCTTTGGGAAGCTGAAATGAAGCTTTGCTTGATTTGTCTTTTTTTCTTCCTTCTCTAAGCCATGTTAAATTTTAAATCTACTGTAGGAAACATTGTAGAGAAGGTGCTCTATATATTAAAACAAAATAGTCAGTCTGCCCTTTCCTTTGGCACAGGGTCCCAAAGGCTGAGATAAATGAGTGCGTTCCTCACAGGGAAGTATCCATTTGGTTGGGAAGGGTAACTGCAGAAGACAGATTGAAGCAAATGGCATTAGCTAGTGGGCTTTGGCAGCATTTGCAGTAGAAAGGAGATGTGCAACAGGAGAAGGGGGTTGTCTTGCTGTTTAATTATGATACTTGGGACTTGCAGCTGCTGTGGGAAGCAGAAAAGGCCTTGAGAACAATTATTCAGGACTAAGATCCCAAGTCCTCCCTCCCTCAGACGGTGGGTGCACAGCTGAGGCTTGGTGGCTGAGCCTGCCGCCTTCAGGTCTCGTATGATCTGACTGATGTGCAGTGGTCACAGCTCAACTGCACCAGGGGAGAGAGCTGCTGAATGCCAGATTCTGCCACAGCTTAGAAACTCCACCAGGGAGGCTGTAAAAACAGCAGCAAGCACAGGAAATAATAGCCAATAAGCAGGGCTTCCGATACAATCATGTTCTCATTTTGGTGTCAAGCAGCAGGCCAGGAACGAAGGGAAAAAATACCATTCCCCATCCTTTTTTGGCAATAATGGCTTGTAACCTCAGAGGAATCTCTAGCCTTCGGGATCTGGCTCAATGTTTTCTCACTCCACCTGGCTCAGTCTCATAAACACCCTTGCTCACTTCACGGAACGTCCGGAGAGATGTCTTTTGGAGCTCTCCCTTCTCTGGCACGCACAGGGAACTGGGAGTTTCTTCACTCGGAGACAACTGATGGGTTTCTCAGTGATGCCCAGACAGTGTAGGGCCAATTACCTTAAAAAGGCATGTTTAAATACTGAAGAAAGTTGTAGGTACATTCTGAATGCCTTGCTTAACTCTGCAATGCTTGCCTTTCTCGCTGCTTCACCCATGGAGTCCGTAGTACAAGCTGGTTCATTTTCTACCCACTTTTCCTTCAATAACTTTCAAAGCACAGGAGTCTGAGTAAGAGCTTTTAGAGCGGGGAGGACATACGGCACAATTAAGTTGCATCTGAGTGAGGACAATCTTGGAGGGTGATTTAGAGCAAAGAGCCATCCAGTGCTGTTTTTCAGGGGAACTTTGGCATGGCAGTCTCAGGCGAGCAAGAGGCCATCCTGTGATTTTTTTTTAGGTTAGCCCTGTTCCAAGTGCATCACTGGCAAGCATTTCATAGCTTGAGATATTTTCTTAAGGAAAATGCTCAGGTGGTCCCAAAAGATCCATAACATTTCCTGCATGTGCTCCTGCCATAGAGTAATTAGGGCCTGAATCAGGACAGAGAATTGAGTTTTCAATGCACAGTTTCCTGTGCACTGGGTTGGGTTAACAATATTAGATGTGGGACATCTGAGCGGTGTGTAATGAGAAAGGAAACAGCTCAGCACAAGAACTAGGGTGGATAAAGCAACTGGGACTTAGAGTAACAAGAAAAAAGCAGAAAAAGAAAATAGAAAGGGTGAAAAAAATGTCAGGAGGAACTAGCAAGTAACACTAAAAAGCTACTTTCTGATAAGAGGAAGACTTGCTGGGAAAGTAGGATAAGGGTAGAAAGGGACTGTTTTCAGAGGTAAAGAGATAGGAAAATGTCATCCACATGAATCAAATAGATGTGTTCACCTCGTAGTGCAGGAGTTGAATTTAACTGTATGGGTAAATCACAGTCACCTCGGGATGAACATCACACCTTGGGGTGTTTCACCATCACGAATACCAGGAGACCATCAGAACTGCCCATACATAAGTGTTCTCTGTAAGTATAAGCTTGCTGAACTATTCAAATAATGTCAGATGAACTGATTTTCGCTCTAACATTTGTTTTAGTAAGAGGATTCAAACAATCACATTTCAGCATTTACTAGAAAAACGAAATTAATTCCTTTTCATGAGTATTTGTGGGGAGCTGAACAGTGAGCCTATTCAGCACCAATGGAGTTGTGTCATCCCCTATTCAAGACACTAAAAGTCAGCTCCTTTATCTGACTACTCACAATGTCAGCTTGGAAGATCCAAGATGATTCAGTGATTTAGTAAGGCATTTGTCAAGTAGATTTGAAAAATACCAGCATATTTCAATATGGAGCAATATTCCAAAAGAGAATATTCTTCTAACAAAAATTGGTATTATTGAAATGGTTACTCAGTGTGTTGTGTTCACTTCATCACAGAGGACCATGCTCCTCTGAAGTTTCTGCTTCCATTTATTGTTGGATCTGAACTCAGTGATTCTGACATATGGGGGTGAGGCAGCAATGGGCCATTTTTTACAATAAAATATGTATAATGCAGTCATCCAGCTTTGCTAAGGATATCTCACAGATGTGAAGGACCAAGCACTGTACAAATGTGTAGGAGAGAGAGTAATTACAAAGAATATTGCCAGGGAGTTTCATGC